GGGCCAACCTTTTTAGAAAAAAAAAAAAAAAAAAAAAAAAAAAATCAAGCTTCTCTAATCCCTTTTCCCTTTCAATCTGCTACTCTGCTGCCTGCCCCCTCCCTGAACTGCCACGTGGCAGGTTGGCCACCCTGATCTAGCTGCATCTCTAAAACATTTAAAATAGTAAAGTTCTGGTTAGATGCATTGCTTTAAAATCAGTGCCATACTCCACTTATTATGACCACTTATCAGTGCTATACTGCATTAAGTCTGTGTATAAGAGAAGCCCTAGTTACCTCTAACCTGAGCATCCATTCTTCTTTATCTCTAGAAGCCTCATTCTGCAGCTTTTGGCAGCGCTTTAGTAACCATCCTCATTTTTTTTCCAACTCCCTTCTTTTCCACTCTTAATGAAGAAACTGCTGGTCTTGGAAGAGTCCCATGACATAACTGAGGGGGGAAAAATTTACTTTATTATCTTCATTTTCCAGGTTAACTTGTGAATTATCATCTTAACCCAGTTTGTTTCTAAAACTGCACTGGAAAAAGTAACAGATTTCAGGATTCAGGTAGTCCAAGCAAAAACACAAACAAAACACAAAACTTGGACTAGTAAACAATGCAAAGACAACAAGACACTTTATTCTCATTCCAATTTTAAAATCTGGATTCTTGCTGGTAACCAATCCCCCATTACTCTGTCTTCATGTAATTAAGTAGCATCACTAGTTCAAATCTCAAAAATAAGTATTTGTTACTTAAGCTTCTAGTATTTCACATGTATTTGCGTGTGTGTATACCAGGAGAGCAGACTTTTAATCAGCCCTGGTTATTTAAGAATGATGCTAAGTGGCAAACTTTGGGTTTTTTTCTTCATTTGTTTAAAGGTATTTTGTTCAAGGTGCAAAGGCAAAACCAGCAGATAATGATATAACTTCAAATATGAGATTTGGTTTAGCCACACATTGAAGATTGCAAAAAGAAAAGCTATTTTATTTAAGTTTCAAAAGGTGCCATTAACATGGAAACAAGGTGGGTTTTCATGTTTTGCAATACACATGCTTATAAAAGATTACATTTTAAATTACATGCAGAAAACTAATTTCTTCACACTTTACAAAACAGGTCTGAAGCATAATCAAATAAAGTGATTGTACATGACATTTACATTAGAAAGAGTACTCTAACAAGGCTGGCCTCCAGAAATAGATTCATCTTGATCCCTTAGCCAAAAGCAGCCCCACAATTTGGGCATCTTCTCTGCCTTAGTGCAAGACAGAACAGGATTCCAATTGGAAAGAATACGATGGCACAGAAGACGCCGAGACAGGTGAAGGTATCCTCCAGTACCCCAACTCTGTAAAAAAGCAGGGGAAAAGTTTGATTACAGACTCCATGGGTATACTAGCACAGGCAAAGATGTTGGTCATACCTCTAAAGTTTCCCAACATCTTGCATTATAAGACCCTGTGAACACTGCTTATGCAACTTTGACAAGTTTTAATTACTTGAGGGGAAAGTTTACAATTCTGGGTTTATTTCACGCAAAGTTGTTCTGGAAAAGGTCAGCCATTTCCAAGAACCAAGGCTTCCTTTTCCACTCCTCTGCCCCCAGCCTATATTCAATTTTAACAAACATTTTTTTGAAAGAGGATCTACCACCTCCATGTATTGGAACAGGATTTGATATGCGGCATGGGTGGCCTTTGTATTACAGACGTGCCAAGCAATAATTCCTCACCAAAAGCTGCAGTTTGCACATGTTCAAATACTTATTAGACCATAGAGTGTATATACCCTGAAAATCGTCTCTACTCCACATACTCCAGCCCAGAACTGAACAAGCTATTCCCCTTTTGGACTGCTGTGCTTTGTCTAGGCCTTAGCCCAGCCTGCAGAAGCTGTCCTGTGCTCTCAACACCATACTGCTGATTCCCAGAGTATGTGGAAGTAGGTTCATTTAAATGAGAACAGTCAGATCTTTGGGGTATTGAGAGGGCATTAGTTCAGAACAAGAAACTGGAGAATGACTAGAAGCAGAAATAGCAATGCCCCCTTTATTACTCTGATGTCTCAAGGTTTGGACATTTTATTTGGTGATGGTCCAAATCTGCACCCCCTAGAAGACTGGCCAGACTACCTGGCTCCAGCATAGAGCGCCTGACTGACCCTGCACATCCAGGACACATTTAGGCACTGCTCTGAAGACAAGAACCAAGGCTACCTGGGCCAATACCTTAATTTTTTCACTTTGTAGGCTGCAGAACTAGATATTCTGGATTGACTTGAGATGCCACCAAGCAATCCAAATGGTGTGAATATGGACACGGAATTCTAATTTTTAATCAAAAGAATATTTGTAGAAGCTGGTAGTTACTACCACTGCTTAAGTTAACGTGGCTTTGCAGCTGAGATTCTACAAGGTAGAAGCTCAGGCTACCTATGGAAGCTGAGCCCCCAACATCTACTACTCTCCTGCCTCCTCATTCTTTAATCCTGCTTCCTGCAAACATTTACATGGGTAATTTTATTTTCAGAGGGTCTAAAGCTTCCAACAGCACATTGTTTTCTGAAAGTTAAAAACTGTTTACATGAGCTATACAGTACCAAAGGGCTTTTTTTCCCCCCTCAGTTTCCAGCCAAGGGCTAGATCTGAACTGACACTGGCTGCCTGCAAGTCATGTCCCCATGAGCCACCCAGCTCACATGAAAACTGGCACACTAGAAGTCA